AAAAAAAAAAAAAAAAAATTTATAATTACCAAGAAAATATAAAATTAATTCTGGATTTAATCCCTTTCAATGACTTACATGTTTTGGGAAAAGTATAAAAGTTTATCAGAGTGATTTCTAGTGCCAGAAAAGAAAAAAGAAGAAAAAAGACCAGAAAAAAATTTATCAGTCCTGTTTACAAAATTATACTGTGAAATAACTCTATTTACTATTCTACTATGAACATGAAATAAAATATTGAAAGTTCTTTTTTGCAAAAAAGGATGACAAAAAAAATGTAAAGCATGTTGCAGTGTTTGGCAAAAGCACTATGAAGAAGGTAAACTGAGACAAGCAGGAGCGCCGTTGGACTCTTAGAGTCCTAGGCATTTTAGTTCCTGTCAGCAGCTTACAGAGTAAATGGTCCTGTCTGTTTAGTTTTTATACAGTCCCGGGGTTTTAAAACTTTGAAATCAAGGACACGACGTCTGCAGTCCACCTCTGAAAGATTAGCAGAAACACAGAATATAGCGCCATCATTTGTGAAGGTAATTAGACCTTTTTTAATGTTTCAAAAAGGAATAATTCTCAAATTATTAATACAGTAAGGACATTAAGTATTTAATTTCTTTTGTTGGCTGATGGATTTTGTTCCTTTCTGTTCACTGATAATAAGAAATTAATGACTTTGTAATCATTATACCTGTTATAACTCCCTTGAAACAGACTTGTCTCCACTTGCTTATTACACTGCTGCTGATTTTATTTTTCCTACCAACTTCTACATGCTTGGGTGTACCTTGTATAAACACGTACCACCCACCCAAACTAGCAACCTGGTGGTCAGCCAAGATTTGTCTGTTTTTCCTCACCTTTCACATTTATTAGTCACTGTGGATCTAACCTCTTAAATATTTCTTAAATCTTTTATTTCCAGCTGTGCTGCCCTTTATGTGCTGTAACCATTTCTTCCTTGGATTACTCTAATATTCATTTAATCTTTTTTCCTCTAGTCTTGCTGTGTTTGTCTTGCTTCCAGACTCATCCATCAGTCTTTCTAAAATAATTTAGTCTGGGCATGTAGCTCAGTGTTAGAGTGCTTGTCTCCCATGCACAAGGCCCTAGGTTCAACAAAGTAAACTTCAAAAACATAAAAAAGTTTCACTAATGGTGATCCAACTCAATCTGGTGTGCAGAGCATTTCATTGTTTGGGCCCTATTGACCATTTTTCTGTTATTTTGTATGCCACTTAGTCTGTTCCTGTCCTCTGCTTTTGACCTTTAAGACGTCAATTTACACACTTCTTCAATACTGTTTCATGGCTGTATCAGGTTTTCCCTCTGTGTGGTTTCTATATCCATTCTCTGTAAGGTCTTTCTGGTGTTCCATATATGGCATTTCTTTTACTACCACACCAATACTTCTAATGATAGCAAAATCATTATTTTAAAAAAATAGTTATTTATGTATTTTTTCCAGTAGACTGGAAACTTTATCAGTGACTTATTTATCTTTACATCTTTAGAACTAGGCCTACTATATGCAGGGTAATATTTTATTTTTTAATTTTTTTTGTCTTTTGGAGCAGGGTTTTGCTATGCAGTTCAGGCTGGCCTTGAACTCAATTTGTAGTCCAGGCTAGCCTCAGACTCACAGTGATCCTCTTGCCTCAACCTCCTGAGTACTGAGATTACAGATGTGTGCCACTGTGTCTGGACATGCAGAGTAATATTTTAATCTTAAAAAGATAATGAAATTTTTCCTCCAGCACAGATACAGTGGTATGAACATCGAGCCATTAAATCGATGTGACACAGTGCTTTCAGTATAGTGTAATGCAGAGAATAATGACACTTTCTTTATGTTAATAATTGATTTGTGTGTATGTAGGATCTAATGTTAATATCCTGGTCAGTTGATCAATTAATTTGATGTTCAATCTTAATTTGTTCACATGGGCATTGCAAATGAAATTCTAGACTTTCAGTTCATTTTTAGTGAGTGATCATGATATAAATGGGGATTGTTACTATCTGTACGGTTGACCAATAAATACTGTTGTGTTATTTTACACATTCAGGGGTTTCTTTTGCGGGACAGAGGATCAGATGTTGAGAGTTTGGACAAACTCATGAAAACTAAAAACATACCGGAAGCTCATCAAGATGCATTTAAAACTGGTTTTGCAGAGGGTTTTCTGAAAGCTCAAGCATTAACACAAAAAACCAATGGTAAGTTGATTTGAGAAGAATAACTGAAAGGATATCATAGTCCTACATTTAAACTATTAAATGACTTTTCTGAAATCATCCATCCTGTTTCCCAACATTTGAGAGGCTGAGGCAGGAAGCTTACCTTGAGTTTGAGACCAGCCTGGGCTACATAGTGAGTTCAAAGCTAGCTTGCACTACATAGTGGGATGAAACAGAAACAGAAACAAAAAATATCTTCTATCTTTACATGGATTTATTCCATTGTATTTATAAGTTAAGCTGTGTTGAGTGGACATACTATTGGCAGTTTATTTTCTCAAGAGAAACTGAAGTCAAGGACAGAATCATACGTGGTTTCATGAAGTTTTGAGGAAGAGGATGCTGAAAGGAAATCGTGCAGTTGTACACAAGGATGCCAGCTTCCAAAATTGCGAGTGATGAAAATGTGATTATCAGTAAGCCTTTCATTAAGCTGTAACATCTCATTGGTGGCATTTAACTTATGTGTATCTTTTTTTCTTCTAGATTCCTTAAGGCGAACTCGTCTAATTCTCTTCGTTCTGCTGCTATTTGGCATTTATGGCGTCTTAAAAAATCCATTTTTATCTGGTAAAGGCTCTTTTATTTATCTGCTATGTTAACTTTTTTATTTCTGTAAATATCCTTTTCCTCTTCACTGTTTATAGATTTATGATAATAGGCTTTTTTTGTTGCTACAGTGAAATACCCAAGGCTGAGTACTTTATAAAGAAAAGAGGTTTATTTAGCTTGCAGTTCTGGAGGTTCATGGGCATGGCACCTGGTGAGGACCTCCTGGTAGATTGCATTACAAGGCCTTTTATTCCTAGTGATTAGTTTTCCAGAGTTTTAGAAAGTGATACATGTTGGATAATCAAAGTTTAGCATTATATAGAATTTTATAATAATAAAAGACAAGCAGTCTTCTGTTTCAAAGACAAGGCCATAAATTGAATTTTTTCTTAAAATAATTAAATGAATCCAATATCTTTTCAGTTTGCAATTCTGAAATACAATTATAATAACAGATTTAAGTGGTCCCAATTACCTTCTCAGTTGTCATTCAGTGTTTACCACATTTTTGTTCTCTACAATTATCTAAGATCCTTAAACATTTTGCTAGGCTCAAGCTGTTAGTGTCCATTCTAGAATTATTGTTTTATGTATTTGTTCCCCCACTTGTATGTTCTTGATGTGTTAGGCATTTTTTTTTTTGTTATTGGTGTTTTTTTTTTTTTTTTGTCCAAGGGATTGAACCCAGGACCTGCAGTCAGCTATATTCACAGTCCTTTTTTTCTGTTTTTTATTTTGAGGCAGAATCTCACTTGAGTTTCTCAGGAGAGCTTGAACTTGAGATCTTTCTGCCTGAGCCTCCCAGAATGTTGGGATTACAGACACATGCTGCCACACCCAGCGAGCATTTCTTTCTTTTACCTTATTTTTGTCTCTTATTGTCTCTTAAATTTCACTGAATCTGTATCATTCAGGGTTTAGTAGACAGATATAACAGGAGATACACAAATGTATAAGAAATAACAAGTTTGGTCAGCCACAGAGTTGATGACCCTCTCTGCATGCTGGAGGCTGAAGAGTCCAGTCCAAGGTCTGGAGCTCACTGCAATGTTCCGTGCAAGTCTGTATTTCCCTTTTATTGTATGTAGCCTACCCTCCTGGGGGAGAGGGGAGTCCTTTATACCCATACCATGTCTGTGCCTTCCTCTTGCACAGGCTTAGGATATTTACAAAGTAAGTGTCTTAGTTACTTTTTTCTTGTTGCTGAGGTAAAATACCTGATGTCCAGAATTACAGAAGGAAAGGTTTGTTTAGCTCACAGTTTGTGGAGGTTTCAGTCCATACTCGTGGGCTCCAAGGCAGAGTGGCACATGGCAGAGGAACAACTGTTCTTGGTGGTGGAAGACAGCAAAAGCAACAAGAGCAAAAGGGAGGAGCCGGAGGAGCAAAACTCTTTCCCTCTCTTATATTGTACATAGGCTGCCCATCCCAGGGTGGTGTAGCACTCACACCCATAATCCCAGTATTGGACCGTGGATCAGTCACAGATTCCAGAAGCCCACCCCATGACTGCATCAGGCTTTGGAGGGACATTAGATATGAACCAAAACAGTAAGGATTTTGGCCTCCTGTTAATCACCTAGTTAACCTTCTAAATTTCTCAAGTTGACACAATGTGTATCTACCATAACAGCATCTTTTTTTGTTTTTGGTTTTGGTTTTTCTCTGGTACTGGGAATCGAACTCACAACCTTGTGCTTGCCAGGCAGGCACTGTGCTGCTGAATTAAACCCCAGCCCCCATAACAGCATCTTAATGGCAATATTTTAGTCTCCTGAGGATATTAGAAATTACTCATTTTTCCTCCCCGATACTGGAAATCAAACTCAGAATATTGAGCTTCTCAAGCAGGCGCTGTGCCACTGAGCTACATCCCAGGCCTTAGAAATTACTTTATTCATTTATGTCTGCTCTAGTTGAGAACTTAGAGCTGAGGAGTGATTTTAAAAAGCCTGTAATAGTTGCTCAGAGTACCTCTCAAATATGGTATCTTACCATACTTTTCCTCTCCTATGCTTAAAAGATGTCATTACTGAAGAATATCTGAAAAGTGAAATAATTTCAGGTTTTTTTTTTAATTAAATGTACCAATTTTTCATTCTACGTTTAAGGCAATATATATATAACAGTACAGATTCGTAAGTGGTTGTGGCAGAATAGTTAAAGATGCTCATTAAACATGCAAACTCCTAGGCTTTTTCTCAGATCTGCAAGTGTGTTGCATGGTTTTGGAGGCTTAACACAAATCTCAGGTGATTTTTTTTTTTTTTTTTAAATTCATATGGAACTTTGATAACCATTGATTTAAGGTTTCCATTATTAGGTATTACAAGAAGAGAATATTTCTTGATTTTAACTGGGAAGTATAAAAGTATGTGTCCTTAATGTGAATCACTTGCTGTTTGAACATGGTCTAGAAATCCCAAAGACCTCGTTTCTGTTCTGTACTTTGATTTGGTATATTTGAACGAGATTTTTCAGTTGTTTAATTTTTGTGGGCTTTGCTTTCTTGCATCTAAAGACTCGGTTGGTTGGAATTTTATTAATCTATGGAATATTAACATCTTTTTTTCCATTTCAGTCCGCTTCCGGACAACTACAGGGCTTGATTCTGCAGTAGACCCTGTTCAGATGAAGAATGTCACTTTTGAGCATGTTAAAGGAGTAAGTTAAGATTTCTTTGCCTTCTTCATGCATTATATAATTGATACTCTATGTAAGATCAGTATTTGGTTCTAAAGGTTCTGGAATAGTAAATTAAAAAAAAAACCATTAGCAACTTTAGAATCTTCATGGTGACCAAGGTAAAGAGGAATTGGAGAGGCTGGGGATGTAGCTCAGCGGTACAGTGCCTGCTCAGCAAGCACAAGGTCGTGAGTTTGATCCCCGGTACCAGGAAAAAAAAAAAAAAAGAGGCATTGGTGTCTTGGAGAGGGTCTACAATTTTAAATAAGGTTTCTTTTTTTTCTTCTTTTTTTTGTCGTTTTGAGACATGATTTCGCTATGCAGTTTAGGCTGGCCTTAAACTCACTTTATAGCTCAAGCTGGCTTTGACCTTGCAGAGATCCTTCTGCCCCAGCCTCCCAAGTGCTGGGATTGTAGTCATGCACCATCACATCTAGCCTTAAATAGGTTTTTTAGGTTTGATTATGGAACTAATAGGTAAAAAAATAGAACAAGATAAGGCCAGGGAGTTTATAGGAACACATTACATAGTGTCTTGCAAGCCATTATAAACTACCTTTTACTCTGTGAAAGTTGGTTCCATTGAAGAATTTTGAGCAGAGAGGTGGGATGCTTTAACTTAATTTCATGAGAACAGTCTAGTTGCTATGTTCATACTAAACTAGAGTCTAGAAAGGACAGAGGTAGATGACAGGCTGTTGCAGGAGTCCAGGCAGGAGATGATGTTGGCTTAGATAAACATTATTGCAGTTGAGTTGGTGAGATGTAGTTAGATCTTGAAGGTAGATTCAATAGAACTTTCCTGATTACAGTAGAAGTATAAGAGAAAGGTGGGTCAAGAACATAAGGTTTAAGTATGAACGATTAGAAGAACAGAGTTGCCATTTTCTGAAATTAAAATATTAGGCTGTGGGTAGAGCCAGTATTCATAATAAAAGAGTAGAGATTTAGTTATAGATGTGTTAAATGTGAGGTATACAAATGAAAGCATTGGATATGCACTTGAATGCATCATTCTGTAATTTTGGGAAAGGTTCAGGCTAAAATGAAAAATTCTAAAGTTTACATTTGTAGATACTAAGTCTGTGTGTTTGAATAAGATCACCAAGGAAGTGACTATGATAGAAAAGAGGTCGAAGTTTAAGCTGCAGAGCACGAATGGGGTAATAGGCCAGAGAAGAGGAACCAGGAACAAAGGTTGAGGAGTTGCCTGTGAAGTAGGTGACGGGGGATAAACGGGAAGAAAGTATTTCTGTCATGAGGGAGAGGGATCAGCTAGCCATGTGAAGTGATGTTGATGGGTCAAATGAGAATTAGATTGCATTTTAGCGGTGTGTCATTAGTGTTCTTGATAATGAACAATTTCAGTGGGATAGCAGGGGCTAAATCATGACTGTTACGAGTTTACAGGGGATAGATGACATGGAATAGGCACTTATAAATCACACTTGAATTTCGTTTGAAAAAAGGCAGATAGATCTCATAGCAGGAAAGAAAATAGGGATCTTAGTAAAGTACTAGGTGAAAGTTGATTGTGAAACCAGAGTCAAGGTCATCAACTGAGGATATGGATGGAAGAGCAATGTATGATTTCCAAAAAAGGTACAAAATTTTGTGAGGATGGGAGAATGAGTGGCTTAGGGAAATACGACTTGGAGCCACTTAAATTTAGATCATGGATTTATATCAAGACCACTCAACACAAATACTTTCTAATTTCAATTTCTTTCTTCAAATATGCAGTCTGGAATTTTAGTTCTGTACTATGCTCTTATATGTGCTCTACTAATAAACCTGATAATGCTTTTGATTTTGGGGAAGGTAGAGATTGGGTAATTGTGTTTCAGGGAATGTTTTGGGAGAAATCTTTCTATAAGCAGAATTTGAAATTTCTGATCTAAAGACTTCCAACTCTGAAGAGACATTTTAATGAGGACTGTTAGCTGGGTGTGGTAGCTCATGCATGTAACCCCAGCTACTCAGGAGGCTGAGTCACAAGGATTACAAGTTTAAGCCAATCTGGGCAATTAAGCAAAACCATATCTCAAAATAAAAAAATTAAAAGGGCTGGGATGTTCTCAGCGGTGGAGTGCCCATTTGTTCAATCCCTTGTACTGTAGTCAGTCAGTCAATCAGTCAGATTTTTAAAAAATTAGAAAGCCCTGAGGATGGATCAGTACTTAGTGTTCATTGCATTCAATCCTTGGTGCCGCCGCCACACATACACATGCGCAAGGGCAAAATTAATATGGCCTCATTATAATAATTCATTTTCTTGATCGTCTTCAGCACTATTTTTCTCAGCAGGATTTATATTCAATTGGGAATACTCTTACCAGAGGTTGGAAGAGATTAATTAGTTAATCTCTTCCAAAAGTAGATAATTAGTAGTAATTAATGTAGTTAATTTGAAAGGTAAATGATGTTTAATCTCTTTTATTCTTACAATTTAATGTTGGCATTATATGCATGAGGGGTACAGTTTGAGGCAGTGCCTCGCTGTATATTCTAGGCTGGACTCTTGCTGTGTAGCCCAGGTTGGCCTCAAACTCATGGTGATCCCTTGGCCTTCTGCTGAGATTACAGGAATGTGACACCATGCCTGGTTGGTTATTTTGACCCGTTTTATATCAGTCTTGTTTTCCTATGTGGCTATGTTTGAATGCTTTTTAAAAAATGTACCCTGAAGCCAGGTATGGTGGTGCACCACAGGCTTGTAATCCCAGCACCTGGGAGGCTGAGGCAAGAGGGAGGATTGTTGCAAGTTTGAGACCAGCCTGGGCTACAAAGTGAGCTCAAGGCCAGGCCAAAAAAAAAAGTACTTTTTTAAAGTAATCAACCACTAAATGAAATTTATTTCAGAATAATTTGTATATTGGTTTATATAAAGAGCAAATACAATTACACAATGTAAAACTGCTGTTAGGAGATTTGGGAAGGAAAAGAGAGATGTTAATACACCCTTGCAAAGTACTCATGAGTCAAACGCTTTTGAGTCTAGAAGGAAAAATGTGTGACTAAAAGAACTGTATTACAGCAGTTTATATCATCTTCAGGTGTATTGTGTCTATTTTTTGTTTTTGTTTTGTTTTATTTGTTTTTATTTTTTTTTTGAGACGGGGTCTCACTATGTAGGTCAGGCTGGTCTTCACAGTGCTGGGATTATAGGTGTCTGCTACCATGTCTGACTTCTTGTATGGGAAAAAATGTAGTCTTTTAATAGTACAATGAAAACATTTTAAATATTTTTTTTTCAAGTATAACATGTTCACCTAAACATGTAAAAACCGTAAATCATCACAAAGTGAGAACACCTGTGTTAGTAGTGCCCAACTCAAGAAACAGGATGTTAACAGACCCCCAGAGCCTCTTGAAAGCCTCTTTCTACTTACTGTGTTCTCCTCCCTGTGGATAATCATTTTCCTGATATTTTACATTAGTTTTGCCTGTTACTGAATTTTTTTTATAGTTGTAGTACATGTAGAATGTGCCCTTTTCGGTTTGGCTTCTTTTGTTCAATGTTAATGCTTTTGAGATCCAGCCATGTTATTTGGAGTTGTAGTTAATTTATCCTCATGGCACAGAATGCCATTATACAAATACTGCAATACTGTATACTTATTTAGGTGTTCACGTGGTTGTTTCTAGTTTTGAACTCAAACAGTGTCGGAAGGAATAATATTCTTGGACATGTATCTTGGTGAACCATATGTGCACAGTTCTTCTGGGTCTTGGAGTGAGCAGGGGTTTGTTTTTAACCATTAACTTTGAACATTTTAGTAAAAATTTTAAGGAGTGAATCAGAAGAACTTTTAAAGACCTACCAAGCCTAACCAAAAAAAGTGTGCTGTTTTTTAAAAACTAACAACAAAAAATTTTGTGACTCTTTAGCAATTATAATATTTTCTAGACAGGTTTGGTGGCAGATGCCAGTAATCCCAGGACTAAGGAGGCTGAGGCAGAAGGTCACTGCAAGTTGCAGGCCAGCCTCAGCTGTATATAGAGTTCAAGGCCAGCCTGAACTACAAAGGGAAATCTTGTGTCAAAACCAAACCAAAGCAAACCATAAAAAGTATAGTATTTTCTAGAAATATATATGGGAAATTTCCTAGAAATACTGGTATAAAGAAATCATGACCAAAAATGATAGGTTCTCAGATTGCCTTTTAGTCATGTTTTACTACGTGCCGGGTAGTTTCTTTTTAATCCTCCCAATGATTTTTTTTTTCTTCACTGAGAAAATGTAAGTTGAAATGATTTTTGTTGGAATTATTAGGAGACATTGTATAATTGGAAGGAAGGATGAGAGAAGTTTTTGAATGCTTATGAGGGGGCATTTTGTATACTTTTTTCTTGACATAAAGAGAAAGCCAAGGGGCTGGGGATTTAACTCAGCGGCAAAAGCGCCTGCCTGGCAAGCGCAAGGTCGTGAGTTCGGTTCCTGGTACCAGAGAAAAACCAAAACCAAAAAAAAAAAGAGAAAGCCAAGTTAATTCTATAACCAAATTAAATTTATGACGTTTAAAAAGGAAGCCTTGGTAATTTAACTAGCTAGAAGCATTATTTAAAATATTTGACAAATTATCTTACTTTAGGTGGAGGAAGCTAAACAAGAATTACAAGAAGTTGTTGAATTCTTGAAAAATCCACAGAAATTTACTGTGCTTGGAGGAAAACTTCCAAAAGGTAAAGTATCTTTCCCCTTATCATGATTTGTTTTGTTTTATTTTTTGAGACAGGGTCTTGCTATATAGTTCAGGCTGCCCCTGAATCACTATGTAGCGCAGGCTGTCCTTGTACTTGCGATGATCCTCCTGCCTCAATCTCTTGAGTGCTGGGGTTGCAAGGCAGGTGCTACCACACCCAGCTGTGCTTTTATTTTGAACATATTCTTTTATAATCTTTTTTTATAATTTACATTTTTAATATGTTAAAGCTTTAAGTTACAAGAATAGTCTAACAGTTTGTTATTGCCATACCTGAAACCCACACTCATTAGTTTTTAGTATTTTGCTGGCTTTTTCTCTTTACATACATGCATTTACTTAACCATTTGAGAGTAAGTTGTAGACGTAATACTTCATTACTCCTAAATACAGTACTTGTGTTAGGGATACTGTAAATAAGGATGCTGTTTTATACAACTCTAGTATAATTATTAAAATTAGTAAATTTATCATGGATACAAAAGAATTACCAGTTCATATTCCATAACCAGATGTCAGCATTCATTCCAACAGTGTCCTTCAAGGACTATCCAGTGTTGTCCTTGTCCTACATCCCCCCGTCCCCCCGCAGTGTTGAGATCCAGTCCAGGGTCACACAGAGCATTTAGCTTTGTCATTAATATGAGACTGTTCCTTAACCTTTTTGTGGAGAAGCTAAGGGTTGGAGTTAAGAAGAGGGTCTTTCATGATTTTTACAATTGTGAAATATTAACTGCTAATTATTGGTAGCATGCTTAACCATTTATATTGAATTTTAATATGATTTCCAATTTTTTGTTGTTAAAAATGGCAATGTGATGACCATCCTAACATAGTCTTTGCCCTAATGCTTAATTATTTCCCTAGAATAAATTTCTAGAAATAAACTCGTTGAGTTAAAGAGAAACCCTCTTTTTTATACTGCTTGATATCTCTATTGCAAATTCAGGAATATATGAGAATGTTTGCATGAACCTTTGCTAATTTAGGGTACATTTTTGAAGTCAGTGCTATAACATAAGAAACCGTAAAAATAGTTCTCTCTGTCTAATCAAGGAATAATTTTTAAATGTATGGAAAAATCCTTAGGTACTAAGCTGTCTCTAGAAGTTAATGTGATTTGAGTTGTTAATATTTAAACCAGTTGGGTATCAGTGAAACTAGGATAGCCCTCAGTCTTTTTAAGCTTTCTTTTAAAAAATTTTGTTACAGTGCAGCATCAACTCAGCTTTATTACTTTTTAAATGTAGTCTGTATATTTACAAAGCTGTGATACGAGAATTCTACTTTTCCATTTTATTATGAAAACTTCAAACTTTTGACATAGGTTAAAGAGTAGTGTCCACCTGGGCTCAACAGTTGTTAATGTTTTGTAATACTTTGTGTGTGCACATATGCATATAGTATGCCTTTTTCCCCTGAACATTTGAAAGAAAGCTGCAGATAACATCTACTTTGGTATGTATCTATCGAAGAATAGGGACATTATCCTAATTTATCCTTTTCTGGGAAAACACTAGTTTTTTAAAATATCATATACTGTCTAGTATTTGTTTTTATGGAGAAGCATCAAGATTCACGCATTATATTTGGTTTTGTCTTTTAATGTAAATTTTATTTTATAAGTAGGTTTATGTTATTTTGCTTCATAGATGTGTTTATACTGCTCTCTTTATATAGTCTTATATATAAACATCTTTTGTATCTTGGTGATAAACAGTATTTAAATGACAGAGAAAAATTAATTATAGAGATCCTGAGGGAAATGACTAGCAGAGACAAATGTTTTCCTGTGTTTGAAAATGTTGATGATTGGTATTCCTTCAGCCTCAAAATTACATAAACTGTCTTACAGATTCTTAGTGGGGATTTTTTAATGACAAATTTGAATCATTGTTGTTTTTCTTTTAGGAATTCTTTTAGTTGGACCACCAGGAACAGGAAAGACCCTTCTTGCCCGAGCTGTGGCAGGAGAAGCTGATGTTCCTTTTTATTATGCTTCCGGATCAGAATTTGATGAAATGTTTGTGGGTGTGGGAGCCAGCCGAATCAGAAATCTTTTTAGTATGTTGTGTATTTTATGTAGTGTTAAATTTTGTTGATTTTAGGGAAAGAATGTTTCTTATCTTTGCTAATTAGTTGTGCTTGATAGCAGAAAGAAGCATTGTAGGGACCTGGTTTTAGATAACCTAATATGTGAGTTAATACAGACCTTTTATTAGTTTTCTCATAGGCTGATCATTTTAAGAGTGAATGTGGTCTGGGTGTGGTGGCACACGCCTATAATCCTAGCACTTAGGAGGCCGAGTCAGGAGGATTGCCATGAGTTGGAGGCCAGCCTGGGCAACATAAGGGAGATCAAGGCAAGCCTGAACTACATAGTTAGACCCTGCCAAAAAAAAAGGAAAAAAGAGCCGGGCATGGTGGCGCATGCCTGTAATCCCAGCCCTTGGGAGATTGAGGCAGGAGGATCGGTGCGAGTTTGAGGCCAGACTGGGCTACAAAGTGAGCTCAAGGCCAGCCTGAACTGCATAGTTGAGACCCTGTTTCAAAAAGACAAAGAAAAAAAAGGAATAGAAAAAAGAGTAATGAAAGTGCTAGGTGAGGCTGGGGGCTTTTGAAAAACTCTTAGGGTTTTTTTTTTTTTCATATTGTTCAGCAATTTTATGATATGTAATGAGGAGTTATTAGTCTCTAATGTGATTTCATTCATATATATATTTGTACAATTAGGAAGAATGAATAGCCCATCATAATCAATTATTGTTATTTTATGTCATTCTCTTTGGTTTATTTTTTCCTATCCCCCATAGTGCTATTCTTAGTAAAAAATGACATTTGTGCATTTTCTTCCTGTGATTTTTTTTCTTGTTTTGACTTTTGACAGTCTTACGCATTTTATTATTTGTATGGTTTTGGTTACAAAGTGTTGATTTCTTTCAACTTATATGAATATTTTCTGTTTTCATAGGGGAAGCAAAAGCAAATGCTCCTTGTGTTATATTTATTGATGAATTAGATTCTGTTGGTGGGAAGAGAATTGAGTCTCCAATGCATCCATATTCAAGGCAGACTATAAATCAACTTCTTGCTGAAATGGATGGGTAATAGAGTCTTTGTATGTGAAATATGGTTGTATGTTTTAAAAATTAGGATTGATCCTGTTGTTAAAAGTTTTCGGACTAAAAACGCAGTCCCTCCCTGAGTTTGATATATGTAGATTTGATCTTATGTCTACTGATCTCATAGAATATTTAATAATAGAAGACAAGAAAAATGGTTTGGATATAGGGAGCAAAGTAATCCCTCTTGCAGAAAGTCAAGACAAGTTTTTCCTCTCAGTATTGTGTTGCTTCCATTACCAATTGGATGTTTTGTATATATCAGCTCCGCTCCCCTCTGTTCTTAACACAGTTTATGGCAGCCTTTGAGTGTCATGCTAGAATTCTAACTTAGATCATTGCTCATAATTTAAAAACAAGAAATGGTGTTGCTTTGAAAGAAGTGTCTTAAAGTCAAATATGTGAGACATTTTAGAAATAATTGCAAAGTCTAGAATTTTGTGAGGGTGGGGTACTGTAGAATGGACTCCCCCCCCCGCCTTTTATTTTATTATTTTGTGATAGGCGCAGGCCAACTTTGAACTTGGGACCCTCCCCGGTCAGTATCCGTAGTAGCTGGGATTAGCAGGAATGGGCCTGGTATAGGAGCACATATTTGGAGTTGATAAATTTGAAAGGAGTTTTTCAAAAACAAATGAAGCACCAAATACAAGCTTGTTTTGTTTTGTTCTGGTACCAGTAATCAAACTCAGGTTGTCCTTGCCAGGCAGGTACTTGTGCCACTGAACTGTATCCCAGGCCCAACAACACAAGCTTTTTGTGTCAGGCCGTGTTTGCCTAAGTAGAGCAGATATGAAGATACATGATCACAGATGATTGTTGGTTTATTATGAGTCTCTTCTTGACTGTTTACTAAAATTAATGATAAAAGAGTTTTGTGTAGATCATTGCTGTATGTGTAATATACTTCAATTCTAAGTGAAAGGGCACTCTTTTTTTCTTTTCCTTAATAGTTTTAAGCCCAATGAGGGAGTAATCATTATAGGAGCCACAAACTTTCCAGAAGCATTAGATAAGTAAGTATTAAAAGAAAGTTTTTGTAAAATATGTCACGTGCTTTACTTCATGCTAAGAGAAGAAACCTATCACAAAAGATGATGTATGCATTGTCATTTATATGAAATGTTCAGAATAAGCAGATTTTCAGAGACAGATGAGTGCCACAGGATTGGGGGAGGAGGGAAGTGACTGCCAGTGGAAATGGGATTTTGTTTTGTGAAGGTGAGAATATCCTAAAATTAGGTTGAAGAATCTCCCCCATGTAACTTTAAATTCTGTATTGTGTAAATTACATCTCAATAAAATTGTTAAAGGATTTTTTTTCTTAAATATTGTAAATATTTTAGGTGGAAGGTACTTTTTGTTTGTTGTTTTAGTCCATATCTTCCTGTATTGTCCTGACTGGTCTTGAACTCCTGGGTTCAAATGATCCTTCTGCCTCATCCTCTGAAGTAGCTGGGGCTATAAGCATGTGGCACCACTCGTGAATTATCGCCCTTTGAATGACTTAAATGCATGTGTTTGTTTCAGAGTGCGTATGCTATTTTTAGTTGCACACATACATCCAAATGAACCTTTGTTCTACCATTTTTTTGACAATGAGGTCTTGCTATATTTCTCAGGCCAAGTTCAAATTCATGATCTCCCTGCCTCCTGAGCTACTGGCATGTGCCACCACACCCAGCTACCTTCTGTTTGTTGAGACTGTTGTTTCAGGTTTTTGTTTACTGTGTGTTATAGTCAGCTTATTAATTTATATTTTATTTTTACATTTTTCCTTTAGTGCTTTAATACGTCCTGGCCGCTTTGACATGCAAGTTACAGTTCCAAGACCAGATGTAAAAGGTCGAACAGAAATTTTGAAATGGTATCTGAATAAAATAAAGTTTGATAAGTGTAAGTCTAATTCTGTAGTACACACGTTATTATCTCAACATTATGGTAATATGAACACTGTTGGTCTTCCTCACTTAATGTCTTAAAAATCCCTTTCATTTATATGTCCATTAATATCTGTTTCTTAATTTGTGTGTATCCAGGAAATGCTGTCATTTTCAATTCCTTATTCCAGAGGAATTTTTCTTTGGGATATCAAACAGATACATTTGGAGATTACTTATGCATAGATTTTTAAAAATGCAAATATATAATGCAAAACAGTTGAAAAGGCTCCATAAACAATAGCTCATTATGTCAGTTTCTCCCCAATAGGGAGAAAGGAAAATATAAAACAAGACACGTGGAAATATTGTTGGCATACTTGGGGGGCATAAATGAACCTATTAAGGCTCCAGTGTTTTCAGAGATAGCTGAAACATTCCATAAAGCTGAATCTGTCTCCTGTAATAAGGAGACCTTTTATGTCTAAAGTATTATTTCAAGGTAAAATTCGGGGAACAGAATGTTGTCTGTGAATATGTTTGTTTTAGTTTGTTCTTAGGCTGGTAACAGTACAGTGTATGTTTGAAGTTTCTATTTAGTTACATTTAGAACTTTCATGATTTTTCCCAGTTACAATTTTAATGGCATATTTTGCACTTTTTCCCAATTTAGTAAATTGAGTCTGATTTTAAATGTGATTACTTTGTTATAGTTTAGAAAGTTGTGTTCTTTTTTCCTTTAAAATGTGAGTTCTTTATAAAGTACTGTCATTTAACTATTTTATACTTCATTATTGTGTTGTTTTTACATAGCTGTTGATGCAGAAATCATAGCTCGAGGAACTGTTGGGTTTTCTGGAGCAGAGTTGGAGAATCTTGTGAACCAAGCTGCATTAAAGGCAGCTGTTGATGGAAAAGAAATGGTTACCATGAAGGAACTAGAGTTTTCCAAAGATAAAATTCTAATGGGTAGGTATTCTTTCTTTTTGTCCTGTATTTTTCATGATGTTAGGGAATGAATTTTTTTTTTTTTTTGGTAAGTATTCTTTGTAGACAGCTAAATTCTCAGACTGTACTGAATTTAATCTTCCTCTAAAATTTCAGCGAGTATTGAAATTTGTAATAGACCATTTCACATATTCTGTTTGAGAGTCACACAATTCCCATTGAACTATACAGCAATCATTACTATGCCTGTCGTCGTTGTAGACTGACTTACAGTGTGTCACATTTATTTCGTTTCTTAGAAGAACTCTTTTTTTTTTTTTTTTTTCTGATTGAAAAGAGAAAGGTTCAGTCCCAGCACTTGGGAGGCCAACGTAGGAGGATTGCCATCAGTTCAAGGCCAGTCTGCACTACATAGTGAGACCCTGTCTTTAAAAAAAAAAAAAGAGAGAGAGAAAGGTTAAAAAAATTGGGTAGGGCTGGGAGTTGTAAGTTAGTGGTGTATGTTAAGCACTGGACTTGATACCCAGCACTGCAAAAATAAAAAGAAGGGTTATAGAAGCATGAAAATATGTACCTGAAAACAGCATCACAGTATGGTCTCTTAAAGAACAGATGTATTTTAATAGCTTATGTGATTATACGGGTGCTTGTAAGGTGCCTGTGCAGTTCCTCTTGTCCAACATTGCTGATAAAAAGTTTGGTTAATTTTATTCTGTTTAATTTTTTTAAATCTTGGATTGGCTTAAAAACAGATTATGACTTCTGATAAATTAGAAGTTTGGTTTTTAGAAAGAGAATAATCTTTCTCTTTTTATGTAAGGATAAGATGATAGTTTCTTTTTTCTTTGTTTTGCTGTTTTGTTTTGTGATGCTAGGGTGCAAACCTGAGCCTCTCATATGCTAGGCAAGTGTTGCACCACAGAGGAACATCTCCAGCCCATTTCATTGTTTTGACAGGTTTGATTTGCCCTTAACAGTATGTTTTAATTTCTTTGTGTCGTAGATTGAATTCTACTGATTTTTAAAATTATTACATTGTTTAAAATAACCTGTTAAGAATGCAGTGTCACCTTGGTTGTCCAGTTCATTCCAAATTCATATTTGAACAACAAAAAGTGTGAGAATGGAACATATTTTTCTCATAAGAAATAATGGAAAACCAAATAATTGGTTCTGAGGCCCAAAAATTCCACAAGCACGTATACTGTCTGGGCGAGGGCAGCATTTAGACTGGAGCATCGCCCCTTTGTGTCTGTAGCAAGATATGGCGCATGACTTACTCTCAGCCCGTATGTTTTTTTCAAGTTGGATTTTTGGTTTGACTATTGAGCAAAGTTACAAACACTGAGCAGATTTTTTCAAATTTTGCTGTTTGCGTAGTGCAAAGGTTGAGCTTGGAGCTGTCTGACAACCCAAGTATCACTGTATTAAGTTGTTACTTTAAGAATTAAGGAGAATGATTTGTTGTTTTGGGGTTTTTGTTGTTGTTATTTTCTATTAATCTCAAGGCAATGGATTTCATCTTATTTAAGTACGCCTTCTATGCAGTACTTCACTTCCATTCTTGTTGTAGGCCCTGAACGAAGAAGTGTGGAAATTGATAACAAAAACAAAACCATTACAGCCTACCATGAATCTGGTCATGCGATTATTGCATATTACACGAAAGATGCAATGCCTATCAACAAAGCTACCATCATGCCACGAGGGCCAACTCTTGGACATGTAAAGTTCTTATGGTTTCTTTTATTTGCTTTCTAATTGAGCTTTCCAGAAGCTTATGGAAGAAATTGCTGATTAGTTACTGTGAAGTTACTTTTTAAGTTGAACCTTTGTGAAATTAGACACATTTGTGAAATTTTTCCATTAATAAAAAATATTTCATATTTCCGATATATTTATATTATGAAATTTAAGAATTGATAGCAAGCTCTAATTCTTAAATATCTTACTGTCCTGCTAGTTGAAAAGAGAAATTATGTTTCACAGTGACTCGTTCCATAGTTATTCTAAGATTTTTTTTCACTTAGTACAAATTCTATTCTCATCTTTGCATCACTGTGTGTGACATTTTAAACATTTTTATGTAATTTGGAATGAAATAGTTCTGTCACAGCATTATCCACCTATTGCTTGTAAAAACCACTTTGGCTTCATAATTTTTCTTATTGTCTAAATTGCTGCTTTTGCTGATTTTGGTGGCGCATACCTGTAATTCCAGCACTCGGGAGGCTGAGGCAGGAGAATCACCTTGAGTTTGAGGCCAGCCTGCACTACGTAGTGAGTTGAAGGCCAGCCTGAATTGCTTAGTGAGACTCTGTCTCAAAAAACAAAGAAAAAAAAAATGCTGCTTTTGTCATTAGTCACCTGCTATCCAATAAACATCTTTCACCTTTCAGCATCATTGTATTAAAATAGTGTCTGTGATGAGAGTTAAATGATAATTCTGGTTTTATTGTAATTTTCAGGAGTGTTTGTGAATTTCTTTGGCTATTACCTGGTTCTTTTTCAATTGTCTAGGTGTCACTGTTGCCTGAGAATGACAGATGGAATGAAACTAGAGCCCAGCTGCTTGCACAAATGGATGTTAGTATGGGAGGAAGAGTGGCAGAGGAGCTTATATTCGGGACTGACCATATCACAACAGGTTGATTTTAGATAATGGCTTTACTTTAAATTGTGTTTGTTGATTTAAAGATTTTTTTGTTAAAAAAAATTGAGTTGTATGTTTAATTTTTTTTTTTTAATTTTAGGTGCTTCCAGTGATTTTGATAATGCAACAAGAATAGCTAAGCGGATGGTTACCAAATTTGGAATGAGTGAGAAGGTAGGTAATAGTTTTATTTTCTTGTATCAAATGATACATAATCAAATGAGTGCCTTTTTGAGAGATCTGATTATCAATTAGTATATTTACTTTTTCCAATCACATTCCAAATGCATTTGAGGTTGTTTGTTCTAGACAGTGTTGTGGTAATATTTTGAGTAGCAAAAAATGGAGCATTCTCTTAGCTGCTCAGAGTTATATAGATAGTAACTATTCATGAATTAACCAAGAGTAAATTAGAATTATTTCACCTTTTCATATGGCTAAAAACCTACTTCTTGAGCCTCCTTCCTGTACCTTTTCCAAATATTTCATATTTCACATCATTGCTGTGTCCCTCAATCACTGCCATACCTTGAGCTATGGATTTCTGGGTTTGGAGTGAGAGCTTCTAAGAATGCAGTCAGAACCAGATTTACATGATTTAGAATTTTTCTTCCTTGTTCACGCTTAATATTTTGATTTTAGTCTTTATAGTTACAAAAGAAAGGTGAAATTCTTTGCCCTGCAAAGCATTTTTATATTCTTTCCCGCTCATGGTATATGTTTCTTTGTATATAGGCTAGTTCTTTCTTTGCTAAATTCTTTGGCACTTTGGGCTTTTGTGCTTAATTACTTCTCTTTTTGATTTTAGCTTGGAGTTATGACTTACAGTGACACAGGGAAACTGAGTCCTGAAACTCAATCTGCCATTGAACAAGAGATACGAATCCTTCTAAGGGTAATGTGTCTGAACTTGCTTCTTTTAGAGATAAAGTGCCTAAATAGGTACAGTAAGTCCCTGACTTAGGAACATGTTCTGTTCCAGGAAAACGTTCATAAGTAAAATTCATTCTTATGTCTGACGAAGTGAGTCTTACACACCTTTGACACTAATACACAGTGGAAAACATAAAAAGATCAAACAAATAAAGTACGTCCCTGACTGTACTGTGCTGCAGTCACACCCAGTAAGCACATAGCAGCACAACTGTGACAGTGTCGCGCAGACACAGGAGCTACTTCCATGGTTTGTTCACCATTCTTAAATGTTCATAATTCAAAGTCCATTCATATCTGTAAACATTTACAATTCGACTATTCATAAATTGGGGACTTACTATACTTTAAAAATGATAAGGGGCTAGGCGTGGTAGCACATGCCTGTAATTCCAGCATTTGGGAGGCTGAGGTAGGAGAGCTCCCACATGTTCAAAGCTTCCCTGGGCTACTAGTGAATTCAAAGCGAACCTGAACTACATAGTGAGACCCTGTCTCAAATAAAAAACAAAAACAAAAGCAAAACAGAAATAACAAGGGCTGGAGATGTAGCTCAATGGTAGAGCACTTGGCTAGCATGTTTGAAGCCCTGGATTTGATCCGTAGTACCACGAATAAAACAGACGTGAAGACAGTGAAAGCTCTTGTGTTTAGTAGAAATGTCACTGTATAAAATTAAAGAAGGTGCATTTTGCAGCAGTGATCTAAATACATTGTCAAGAAACCCCTTTTCCTGAATTGGATCCTTATTTTATTTTGACCATAGGCTAAGTAGAATTCAGTTCTACTTTAGCTACAAAAATCATAAAAGATGATAGAACGAGGGCTGCTGTTTACTGAGTCTGTTTCTATTCTGAGATACACGTATGTAGCAAGTACTACTGGTTATTTGGTTTGTGCCCAGCATTGCCTGTGCTCATAGTGCAGAATAAACAAAGTAAAGGACCTTTTTGTTGCATTCTCCCGTATAGATTAGGTAAAGGGATTTTGTATTAGTGTTCACAAGAGCTTGTAGAGTGGGGACAAGACTCTTCAAAACACTGCACATGCAGGATACAAAGATTTACAATATTGGCCTACAGTGGCCGCCCATAGAGGCAAATGTAGAAGAGTGCAAAAATCTGTCTGTGCGTTAGAGATCCGAAGGACCCAGTTGATGGCCTTAAGCTCACAGCCATGTCCCGTATGAATCCACATGAGCAGGCTGAAGGATCTTCAGTGGGAGACCAAGGGATCTGCCCTGGGAGGTTGCAGGGTTGGTGCTAGAAGCTAAAGAGGCTGCAGCAGCAGGCAGAAGGGCCGGTGCTAGAAGCTGAAGGATCTGCGCTGAAAGCCAGGAGATGATGCCCGAGACAAAGGGGAAAATCAGATCCCCTCCAAAGGGAACAGCCGAAGCTCCTCCAAGGAAAAGCAGCTGAAATCCTTCCCTCCCATTCTCCTTTTATGCCATTCCAACAACAGTTCTCAAAGTGGGTTAACCTTGCTAACTCAGTTTGGCTTGGTGTTCCCACCTCAGGTTGACAATCAATTAACCACCACAGATGTATAAAAGTAAGTTCAGGGAGTTTAGCTAGTAGCTACTGTGGCATAAGGATACTTTGCTTAAGATGGGGAAAATAGAAATGAAGAAACATGGATGGGTTCGAGAAATACTGTTGCAGTCAATCCTGTTTTTGTGGTATTTTGTGATGGCTAAGAGAGCAGTTCAGTCTGTTTGATAAAGAACTGGCTCATGCAGCTGTATTTGTCCCATTCACTGGCGAAAATGGAGACTAAAGCTTGACTAATGTGGGGTGGTAGGTAGGTCACAAGTTCATTTTTAAACATGGGGAATATGAAGCATCAACCTGAAGCTAAATGTGTGTGTCTGGTTCTTAATGGAAAGGTTGGTTATGTGTCCCCCTTGGATTTCAAAGTTCCCCATTCCTTGACCAGGTCTGGAGTGGAGAAAAATAATGTGCCTGAGGGTCAGTGTCTTTAGTGAATGAGGAATGTAATTAGGGTATTCTTCACTACGAACACTTTCCATACACTGTTTATACTGAAAGTATTTGTACTCTAGAACCGAGCTTTTAAACGCTTTTTTAAAAAATAACTGACTAGATTGTTAAAGTGGTATAGTTACTGTGTTTCTTTTCCCCTACATTTTCTACTTCTTACATACCTGCTTTTCTATTTCAGGAGTCATATGAAAGAGCAAAACATATCTTGAAAACTCATGCAAAAGAGCATAAGAATCTAGCAGAAGCTTTATTGACCTATGAGACTTTGGATGCCAAAGAAATTCAAATTGTTCTTGAGGGGAAAAAGTTGGAAGTGAGATGATAACTCTCGGTACGGATGTGTTGCTGGTATTATTGCAAGAACATACACATCATGGCAGTAGTCTTTTGCAGTGCTTTCTTGCTCATTCTTGACTTGGTATAATTCAAGTGTGTGAATACTTCATCAACCTTTTGTCACATTTACGTAATTTTGCTTATTCTCATGATGACATCTATTGGAAATTAGAAACCTACTCTAAATATATTTTAAGAAAATAAAGAACTATCAGGATTGGAAACAGTTTGTTTGAGAAATGTCAGGTTATTATGATGAAAGTAAATGATGATTTTATGATTGGTCACTCTATTGGTTATGAGTAGAAGTTGTGCCTTTAGCTCCTGGTAAGTATTTTAAATTTGCAAGCTAAGATTATTGAAGTATTATCATTATCTCTTGATAGCAATATTTCTTTTGGTAAAGAAGTAATGCTCTTGTAAACTGTCTACCCCTATTTCCTGTTGGTGGTACTGACTGAATCCAGGCCTTTGCATGCTAGGCAGGTGCTCTATTAGTTAGCTACATCTCAGCCCTTTTTAAATTTTATTCTGAGAGAGTCTAGCTAAGCTGCCCAGGCTGACATTGAACTTGTGATTCTTTTTCCTCTGTCCTGAATAGCAGGGATCGCAATCACACACCACCACATTTGACTGTAAATCTTATTTCTATCATGGAAATGTCAGTAAGATGTAATTAATTGTGCTACAGGTTGCACACATGTAAAATGTGTTTTAAAGTATGCAAGAGTAGAGAACTGTAAACACAAAGATACAATCCAAATTTAAATGATTGTAACCTTTTAAAAGTTCACTGTAGATTTTCTTTTTTTTAAAGATTACTGTCCTTATCACTAATCAGGTTTATTCCTTTTTTTTTTGGTCTTTTTGTCTTTTTGAGACAGGGTCTCACTATGCAGTTCAGCCTGGCCTTGAGCTCACTTTGTAGGCCAGGCTGGCCTTGAACTCACAGTGAACCTCTTGCCTCAGCCTCCCAAGTGCTAGGATTATAGACGCAGGCTACCATGCCAGGCAAAGTTCATTTCAGAGCAACAGTATTTTGTTAAATAAACAAGTTAACGATCTTTATTTTGAATAATTTTGTAGTTAGGCTTAATCTCAAAAGCAAAAGTAAACCAAAACCTATGACCCTTCAAAATGAGCTTTTGAGTTACCCTGAGTTAGAAATGGAAGGATGTATTTATTTATTTTTCATTCTAGTTTTTTCTTTTTCTTTTCTTTTCTGTTTTTTTTTTTTTTGGTACTGGGAATTGAACTCAGGACCTTGCGCTTGCCAGGCAGGCATTTATGCCATTGAGCTAAACCTCCAGCCCTTATTTTTCATTCTGATTTTGTGATTATGAACATGTTGTTGTAGGATTTTCATGAGTTTTTCGAGTGTATTGTGTTGGTTTCACACTCAAATTATTTTCTTGAAGTAATTTTATTAAAATTACAATTTTCTAATAACTTAGGCTGCATATGGTCTTCACTGAAGATGAATGAGTTAGAATTTATTATGTGATTCTTGACCTTCATTTGTAATCTTAAATTTCTTTGTAATTTCAAACTGAGAAATGTTGCCAGAATAATACAGGAGTACCCTCTCACATACCTTTGATTCAGAGTTATCAACTGTTTTATGTTTCCCCATTTTTTTGCTGCATTCAGTGTTTGTGATTTCTCTCTCCCTGTCTTTGCCTGCATATACGTCTATACACACATATGAAACACTTTTGTCCCCCAGTCATACATTCTGGATGGAAGTCCTTATTAGATGGATCTTGCTTTTTATCCAGTGTGACTTTGCCATTTCAGTGGGATTTTTCAGTTCATCTATGTTTTATTGGTTTTTTTTGAGACAGGGTTTCACTATGTAGTTGAAGCTGGCCTCGAACTCACTATGTAGCCCAGGATTGGCTTCAAACTGTCAGCAATCCTACCTCCGTCGCCCTAGTCCTGGGATTACAGGCATGTGGCCACCACATCCAGCCCATCTGCAATTTTAAATGCTGTAGTTGTTTACTGTTTTCTCATATCTAAAAAGGTTTCTGTGTTCTATTTTCCTCACCTTGTTTTGTTTAAAATAAATACTCTTTTTCAGTACCAATTCATTTGTTCCTTGATTTTTTTTTCCTGTATTGAGATGCTATATTTTTTGAATGGTTGCTCTAAACAGGACAGTGTACATCTTTTTTTGTGTGTCTGTTTTGAGACAGGGTCTCACTATGTAGTTCAGACTGGTCTCAAACTCAGTAGGTAGCCTAGGCTGACTGAAACTCAGTGATCGTCCTGCCTCAGCCTCCTAAGTGCTGAGATTATAGGCATGTACTGTATGCCCAGCCAACAGTATACATTTTACATAGTCTGCCTCCGACTAATACAAACAGTTCTGGTAAAATGCAGGAACTTTGTTCCATTATATATCCATGTGCTGGTGTTGTCATGTGTATTATATCCATATATGTTGCAAACTCAACAGTCTTAAATCCTCATTCTTTATCTTGGAATGTCTTGATTTTTTGTCTTTTGTCTTTCATTTTTTCTGTCATTCTATCACTGAGCTATATCCCCAGCCTTTTTTGAGACAGGGTTTCACTTTTGCCTCAGCTTTCCATGTAGCTGGGATTACAAGCTTCTATCACTGCTCCCTGCTTGCCGTTATTCTTAAGGACAGGTTCTTCGGGATATATGTTCTTGACAGTCTTTTCTTTGAATCTCATAGAATGTCATCCCCACACATCCTGACTTCCAGTACTTTTGTTAAGAGGTCAGCTGTTAAACAATTGTAGTCTTTACATATAGGTTTTATTTTTGGTGGTTTCAATTTTTTTTTTTTTTCTTTTTGTCTTTTAGCTGTTTTTAGGTACAGATCTCTATGATTATCTTTGTGGTTTTGAGCTTCTTGGATATGTAGATTGTCTTTGTTCAGATTTGAGAGATCCTTGGCCGTTGTTTCTTCAGATACATTTCTGTCCCTGTCTTACTCTAATCCCCCTTATCTGTGTATTGGACTTGATGTTGGCCAGGTTTCCAGAACTCTGTTCAGTCCCTAACCCCTCTGTTTTTTGGGGTTGAGTAATTTCAGTGGATGCTTTTTTTTCTCACTTTCACTGATTATTCTTGTGCTACCTCAAATCTGAATTTTCATTTCATATATTTTTCATCTCCTAGTTTTTCATTCTAGTCTTGGCATGTTTTCTTTTGTGAAACTTTTTGTTCATTGAGTCAAGATAATCAGTTTTGTTTAATTCTGTGAACATGACTTCCTTATTTAAGAGTCACACTTGTTTCATCATATCCCTTGTCATCTTTTTTTATGCTTTTTTTTTGGTATTGAGAATTGAACTCAGGACTTCACACTTGCCATGCAGGTGCTGTGCCACTGAGCTATATCCCTAGCCCCTCCCTTGTCATCTTTTGGTTAATTTCAGATAGTAAGATACGGCAAAGCTTGTCTCCTCCACCATTGTTCGTTTGATTGGTTACTGGCCCAACTAAATCTGTGAAGTCTCTCCATTGCCTTGTTCATAGCTTTTGATAGCTTTGCTGAGTTTTTTTAAAATTTTCAATCTAGTTTCTGAAGTGTTAGCTGCTGTTTGCTTAGCTTAGTAGTTGGTCAGAGACTGCTTAAACCTTTCCATTTATTCAGGCTTCTGCTCTCTGCTGATAGATCGGTGTATGATTTGACAAGTACATTCAAGTCTTCCAGGCCTTTGATTTCTGCTGGGCTATTTAGCTTCTGCCTTTGTGTGTGCTTGAGAGCTTTCTGCTCCCTGTGCCTAGAATATTTAAAGTGCTTACTAAGCTCCTATGGCATTCTTAGCTCCTGGAAATCTCAGTTAAACACTGACTTCATCTTTTGTTTGCCTCAAACAGGACAAACACCTCAGGTTAATGAACTGCTCATCACTAGGAGCACAAATTTAACCTATAGTGCATCAAAGTAAATTCTTTTTAGCAGGGGTATAAACCTTATTAAAATCTGCCTTGTCTCTGGCGGAACCATTGCACCCATAGAGTTGCCATAGGGTAGGAGCAGCCCTGGGTGGGTAGGATTATCACAGACTTAAGTGTTCTTAACTGAGGCATTAGTGGTTGTCACTCATAAATATGTCTTCTGTTGAGTTCCAAAGTGTTGAAATCATTGTTTTTTGGTGATTTTTTTAAAGCTTTGTATTTCATACCTTTTTAAAGGGGGGAAAGATTTGTTACCTTTCTTGCTTCATCATGCTGAAAGTGAATCTCGTGTGATGAACTTTGAAATCACAACTTTAAAGAAGAGACTTGTAAATTTCTTAAAGCCATCTGAATGTCAGAATTGAATTACTGGAAAAGGGGCAGAGCCAGATGGCAAAAAGGACTCTTAGTAAGTGTCCTCAGAAGAAACATCGATTGAATAGTTATTCACGTGGGAAAGTTCTTTCACATGAATCAAGGAAGCCAGGTAAGAGTGCAGACCTTGCTTATAGCATAATAAAAGATGCGTTGAAGAGTGTAGGACAGATAGTCTTACAGTACTCCGGAGAACACTCGTGCCCCAAACCTAAGCAGCATAGCAAGGAGAGATACTGTCTGCCTGTAGGAAAGAGGATGTGAGCATACAACATTGTCTTGGAATCCTTTATCACACTAAGCCACAGTAAAACTCAGTCCCTAAAAGACCCCTAAGGCCACTGATGAGGGTGCTGCAAAAAAATGGAGAGCCACTCTATAGCCACTGCAGTGCCCAATGGGAACCTGTAACCACAGGAAGATGGACTGATGTTCTGTCCTGTACCACGGCTGGCTATGTGTAGTAGTCTTGGTCACAATAACTTACAGCAACAGACGGACCTCAGCAGTTAGGTGATTGGATTCCAGCCTCCTGTAGCAAGTACTGTGGCAGTATTGGGGCTCCGGCCTGGGACCACCGATTTCCTGCTTGGGTACAATGACAGAAGAGAACAGGGCAACGTATATATATTTTAGTTACAAGGGGCATGAGATGGTCAAATCCCAATAAGGACTAAGACCATGAGGCACAGTGTCCTTGGCCTTTATTAGGTGCACAGCTTGATTGGGGGTGTGCGGTGGCTGCAGGAACAAGTGATGAACTGATGCAGTCAAGGTTTAAGGATTGAGGAACAAAGCACTTCCGGAAAAGCACATGGGAATAGACCATAGTTAACTAGTAACCTGATGGTCTGCTAACCGTGACTATTGAGCCAGAAAGAATTTGGGCGAGTCAAAGTCCACAGATGCCGTTTT